GGAAGCTGAAACGAAAAGATTAGCTGAACCAAGGAATTAGAGGCCAGCCTGAGCAACATAACGAGACTCTGTCTCAAAAAAAACTGGAGACTGGAGAGATGGCTTGGTGGTTAAGAGTATTGCCTGCCTTTGCAGAGGACCCGGGTTCAGTTCCCAGCACCCAAATGGTGGCTAACAATGACCTGTCTCAAAAAGAAATAATAAACAATAAATTAATAAATAAATAGAAACTGGCTGGCCAAACAAGATGTGCCTCATGGTACAATAGTTGCAAGTTCATTTTTTGGGGAACCAACCACTTCCTGATTGGAATTAAGGCTTACTCCGCAGGAGAGATCACAGGTTCTAGTGGAAAGTTAAAGATGGTCTTTTACTAAATGGGCATGATGGTCCTGTCAAATTGCCTTCTGAATAATTATGTTTCTCCTCATAGATTACTCAGTTTTGGTCTAAGACGTTTCCTTTTGCAGTGGGCAGCGGTAAATGCAGAGACCCAGAACTGATCAAAGTACAACTGGTCTGGGAGGGTGGCAGGACGTGGGAGGAGTTGGAGGAAGGACTGAGAGGGGTAGAAATGGTGCAAATACAATAATACGTATGAAATGTATAACAATGGATCAAAGTGCTGAGAATAAGTGACTGCTGAGTGCTCAGCCATAAGTGGGACATCTATACCACCAGCTCAAAGGCTCAAGGAACATAGTGGAAGAGAGGGCAGAAAGAATGTTAACACTAGAGCCAGGCATGGCGGTGCACACCTTTAATCACAGGACTTGGGAAACAGAGGCAGGGGATCTCTGTAAGATCAAGGCTAGCCTGGTCTACATAGGGAGTTTCAAGCCTGCCAGGGCTACAAAGTGAGACCCTGTCTCAAAAAAACCAAACCAAAACAATAAAAAAAATATAAGAGGATGGGGTGGAGAGCTGTGGAAGTCTTCTGAGCATGGCACAGCCATGGCATTCTTGAGCTCACAGCTGCTGTGATTACCTGCACAAAATCTGAATGAGATTGGGCCTGCCAACATTCTCTCATGATGGGGGCAAAGACTCATGAGACCTCACCTGTCCGTGATGATCTATAAGCAATTAATGGTTGCTGGGGGAGGAAGAGACATTTTCTTCAATACTGAAGCCACTGGTTAGGTGTCCAAGTTCCTAAGCAACTGAAATGGAACTCATTGGGTCACTAGGAAATAGATAAATAAATAATACATAAAATGAAGGTATTTATAGGGACTATCTGGGAAGAGGAAGGGAATCCTTGGGAGTGGGAGGGGAGCAAGACATGATGATGGGCAGTAAATATGATTAAAGTATATTATGTGTATGTATGGAAATGCCATAATGAAATCTATCATTATATATAATTATTATATGCTAATAAAAAATTTTGTTTTTTTAAAATTTTATTATTTTTATTTTAAGTGTATGAGTGTATTGCTTGCATGTAGGTAAGTGCACCGTGTCGTGCAGTACGCTGGGAGGTCAGAAGAGGATGTCGGATCCCCCAGGACTGGAGTTATGGATAGTTGTTAGTTGCCATAGTGGGTGCTGTGGGATTGGAACCCAGGTCTTCTGCAAGAACAACCAGTGTTCTTAACCACTGAGCCATCTCTCCAGCCCCCCCCCCTTATTTTTTCTTTTTTTGGTCTTTATGAGACAGGGTCTCCCTGTAGCTCCAGCTGTCCTGGAACTCACTATGTAGACCAGGCTGGCCTTGAACTCAGAGATCCACCTGCCTCTGCCTCCCGAGTGCTGGGATCAAAGGCGTGTGCCACTACACCCAGCCAATAAAAAAGTTTTTTAAAAGAGTTCAAGGACATCCTGAGCTATAGGGTGAGTTAAAAGCCAGCCTGGACCATGACTCAAACCAAACTCAAAAGTCATAGGTAGGTAGGAGGGAGCAGTTCTGGTGTGCTATTATACATTAAGGTGATTATAGGTAGAAGAGGGGCTGAAGAGATGGCTTAGTGGTTAAGAGCACTTTCTGGAGTTCAGTTCATAAGTACCCAGGTTAGGTGGCTTACAACCACCTGTAACTTCAACTTCAGCAGATCTTGGAGTCCAAGGGCACCCCCCCCCACCATACACGTGGCATATACTCACACATATACACATACAAATAAAACTAAAATAATTTAACCATTAGAAGAAAGTATTTTGAATATTTTTACCATAGCTAAATGATAAAATCCAGGTGTGATGAGGCATGCCTTTAATCCCAGCATTTGTGAGGCAGAGGCAGGTGAAATTCTGTGAGTTTGAGGCCAGCTTGATCTGCGTAGAGAGTTCAGGCCAGCCAGGGTACATAGTTAGACCCTGTCTGAAAAAAACAAAAGGGGAGGGGAGGCTGGAGAGATGGCTCAGTGGTTAAGGGCACTGGCTGCTCTTGCAGGGGATCTGGGTTTGATTCTCAGCACCCACATGGCAGCTGACAACCATAACTCCAGTTCCAGGGGATCCGACACCGTCTTCTGCCCTCCCCAGGCATTGCACGACACAGGTGCACTTAGAAAACAGCCAGACAATACACTCATACACATAAAATAAAAATTAATAAATAGGGGCTGAAGAGATGGCTCAGAGGTTAAGAGCACTGACTGCACTTGCAGAGGACCCGGGTTCAATTCCTAGCACCCACATGGCGGCTACAAACCGCCCTTAACTCCAGTTCCAGGGGAATCCAAAGCCCTCTTCTGACCTCCATGGCATTGCACAACACTGGTGCACTCACACACATACAGGCAATACACTCATACACATAAAATAAAAATAATAAATATTTTTAAAAAGTGATAGCTCTTTTCAGTGCGTTTTAAAACATAATAATAATAAATAAAATATTTAAAAACAAAAATTAAGGGCTGAGTATGGTGGCACGTGCTTTAATACCAGCACTTGGGAGGCAGAGGTAGACAGATCTCTGTGAGTTCAAGGCCAGTCTGGTCTACATAATGAGTTCCAGGCCAGCTGGAGCTACAGGGAGACCGTCTCAAAAGATGAGAGAGAGAGAGAGAGAGAGAGAGAGAGAGAGAGAGAGCATAATACAGAAAGAAAAAGGAAGATTGCGGAAGTGGAGGAAGGAGAGGGGGAGAAGAGCAGACCTGAAACTCAGCTGGGGCTCCCTGTGGACTGGGTGTGTGTTGGGTATGTCAATCTGCGTTTCTCCTATCGTCTTTGTGCATTTCCAGAAGTTTGGTAGTGTTTCAGCCAGGCTGGCTCTATCTTGCTAAGTAGTGTTAACATGAGAGAGTTGGGGTTGAGGGTGCTCTAGGAGACCAGTGTGGTGATAGTGACTAGAATCAGCAGGATGGAGTTCATGGGTGGGGGTGCAAGGCCAAGGTCTGCCTTGAAAACCGATTCCTCTCTGCCCCCATCCACAGCTGTCCACGACCTCTTCCAGAATCAGAGTGGGACAACTGTAAGAATGGTTGCAGGAGTGACACGAATATGCTCACTTCCCAGGATCCTCACTTTCTTTCCCCTTGCGGTCCTGAGAGTTATCTTGCAGATTTTTCTAATGTTTCTCAGGAAACACTGTCAAACACAAGAAACTCCATCCTGCTGATTCTAGTCACTATAAGAAGGAAACTGTTTTTCTTTTTCTTTTTTCTTTCTTTGGTATTTTTGAGACAGGATCTCCTTATAGCCCCAGCTGGCCTGGAACTCACTATGCAGACAAGACTGGCCTTGAGCTCACAGCGGTCCACCTGCCTCTGCCTTTCCAGTGCTGGGATTAAAAAGGCATGAGCCACCGCGTCAGGCTGGGACCTGTTTTTCAAACAAGAATGTTTTTCCCTAGGGCGCTGCTCTGATGAATGGGGGTCACTGCTCTGACAGGGTCAGTCTGCATCCCTGAGACCGCTGGATGATTTTGCTCTCAAGGCCCTCCGGCAAGGAAGCCGCCATCCTGCACAGCCTCTCCACTCCCAGCAAAGATAGGGGATGGCACTGCAGGGGCTGGCTGCTCCCTGGTGGGGCTACAGTAATGAAACCTCAATTGAGGGGAGTAGTCACTTAGTGAGCACACAGACTGAAGGCACTTGCAGGGAAAGGGATTTTCTGCACTAATTTCTCAGTATTTTGCAAAGAAAAGAGACCCGCTCTAGAAAGAAAAACGGGCATGAAGAATGTTCACTGCGGTGATGAGGGAAGAGTCACTGCAGTGAATGGGAGGCTACCCAGGGCGGGGTGGTACGGGTGGGGCAATGCAGTGCTGGGGGTGGCAGACTCAGTTGCTCCAACGCACTCACGGAACTCCTCGCCTAGTGAAGGATGAAGCGATGGGGTCTCTGTCCCTTCACGGGTGGGAGCTGTGCAGCGGCAGGAAGGAGCTCTCTGCCCTGCGGTGTCCCGCCTGTCTCCGGCGGCCTGGGCAGGAGCGGGAGCCGCTCGGAGCCGGCCCGACAGCCACAGCCCCCTACGCAGCGGGCGGGGCAAAGGCAGGCTGGAAGGGCGGCCTCTGGGCGCCGGGCGGGACTACAGACAGAGGGGCCGGCGCCCCCGCAGGGGCTGCAGTAGCTCAGCCGCAATGCAGCGCACGCCGGGACAGCTGTGAGCTCCGATGCTGCCTGGAGTCCCGCGGCGGCACCCCCCACTCTAGTCGGGTCGCGACGCCCGGAACTCGGCGAAGTGACGGTGAGGCTGGGGTTGCCCGGAGGGAGGGGGCGATCCCAAGACTACTGCATCAGCCACTTATGCTCAGGCCAGCTTTGCCAGGGTGGGGAGAGGGGCTCCGGACCGCTCTGAACTGCTGCCGCGACACCTTCCAAAGGCGGTCCTCACTCTCCGGGTCTTGTTCTCCCAGCCTCGACCCCTCCAAATCGGTCTGCAGCCCCTCAGCTCCCCGTCTCACCCTGGCCCTAGTGTTCCCGGGCTGAGCTCGGGGCACCTGGGAAGATGCTGGCCCTTTAAACCTTTGCTCTTCTCCCAGAGCATCTTCATCTCTCCACCCGCGCCACTTCCGACAGCTGGCAGCGGGGGGGGGGGGGCCCCGAGGAACAGGGCAGGTACGGGGGGCGGGGCGGAGAGCTGCAGGAACAGCTGTGCCCCCCCCAGCCGCAGCGGGACTGCCGGGCGCCTGGAGTGCGGGTTAACCATTAACCCTGCACTCCCCGGGTCCCCGCGCTGCTCGCGGTTGCGCGGAGCTCCGGCTTCCCAGGTAACCCGCGAGGATGCCCCTCTCGCCTTCGCTGCCCCTCCCCTTCTTTTCCGTACGCCACTTGCCTGCGTCCCGCGGGGGGAGCCCCGGGCTTAGCCTCGCGCCCCCGGCAGGCTAGCGTCCGGGACCCGCTGAGGTTCTCGTAACTAGCTTTCAGGGTGGGGCGGCCCTCACCTAGCCGCCGTTCGCGCAGGGTGGGCACCATGCCCGGCCTGTACTGCCCTTCCAGCTGGACGCCGCTGCCCCTCACCGACTCTTGGGTCCGGGCCTACGCCAACGGACCCTGCCTCAGCCTGCGGGCCCGGCTCACCTACCGCAACCCGCAACCCCAGCCAGTGGACGGTGAGGCCCAGTGCGGGCGAGGGGAGGGAGCCGCGAGCGCCCGGCGAGGATTCGAGGCCGCGCTCTGCCCTCTCCTCCTCACAGGCGTCTTCGTGTACCCGCTGGCCGAGGCAGAGGTGGTGTCGGGCTTCGAGGCGGAGGCGGCCGGACGGCGCGTCTCCTTCCAGCTTCAGAGCAGGCGCCGCTCACAGGCCGCCTGCTGCCGCGCTCTGGGCCCGGGACTGGGGACCTCCAGGCCCCGCCGCTGCGCGCAGGGTGAGTTCACTGCAGCAGGCGCCCTTCAATGCCAGCCACAGCTTACGTTCTTGCACCCATCTTGCTTCCTTTTTCCGGACATCAATTTAACTTTCCACTCATTGCTTCATCCCTTTACCCAATAGTCATGGAGTGGGCACCTGGCCTGGACCTGGTGCTGGAGGAAGATGGCCCAGGGCTGGTCTGAGGTTCGCAGCAAGGGAGACTGAGAAGGCAAGCAGTACAAAGCTTAGAGGGTACCACTGACCCTCACTGCCCAGTCTCTCCAAGGTGTGGCAAGGAGAGCATGGGTCTGCAAGCTGGCCCTCCCAAGCACACCTCTGCGAAGCCTCTTGTGGACCTGTGTACTGGCTAGCTCCTGAATCAAATGCAATTTCACTCATTTCTTTCAGTCTCTCTAGCCTCCCTCCCACACCAGGAACCACAGCACTTTTACACAGGTTCTTATTGTTTGTTTTTTAAACTAACTTTCGTGTGTGTGTGTGTGTGTGTGTGTGTGTGTGTGTGTTTAACAGTTAATTGTATTATTGCTATGGCTACCCCAGGAGAATGGAGGCCCCAGGAAGCCAGGAAGTATTCCACATCTCTGTGCCAGACAGACATGATGGAGCACACCTGTAGTCCCAGCATTTGGAATTTAAAGTAACTTACTGAGAGAAATAAACAGCTATACCATAGTAGATGTCCATGGTGCTGTGCAATATACATGGAACATTCACTGAACAAATTTTAGTGGAATGACTATAATGAACCAGATGCTATTCTGAGACTTCCTACACAGTTTTTTGTTTTGTTTTGTTTTGAAGACAGGGTCTCCTTATAGCCCCCAGGTGGCTTGGAACTCACTATGTAGACCAGGCCTTGAACTCACAGAGATCCACCTGCCTCTGCCTCCCAAGTGCTGGGATTAAAGGCATGTGCCATCTCACCCGCCCTGGCTTCCTATAGAGTTTCACAAAATAGACAAGAAATCCTTTCCTGAGTCCATTTTGTCAGTATCACAGAAACATTTGTGTCTTTCTACTGTTAATGATAACAGTAATTTCAAGCTTTATCAATTTGTTGGCTTTAAGTCATGGAGAATCTTTTTTTCAGGCTGAAGAAATCATTTAATCAATTTTAAAGATAATCTAACATTAGCTGTGCGTGGTGGCACATGCTTTTAATCCCAGTACTTGGGAGGCAGAGGCAGGTGGATCTTTGTGAGTTCGAGGCCAGCTTGGTCTACATAAGAGTTCTAGGCCAGCTGGGGCTACAAGGAGACCCAAAAAGATTTCTAACATGTCTCACATCATAGTCTCTCTTGAAAGGTTAAAAACATGTATATAAAGACAGTAGCACAGAACCAGGCACATAATACACTGAAAACATGATACATTAAATGCTTCCTTACAAAGTTACTTCTATATATGTATACTTTTTACACATCCCTACTGTCTGCCTTGGTTCTCACTAGTACCTTTGTACTTGTTCTTTGAGATTCAGATTTACTCCAACATTTATCCTTGAGAAACTCCCCCTTACTCCACACAAATAACTGATCACACTCTTCTCTTACTCCCCAGTCTGAAGCACTTAAGAGGGGGAGTAATTGTCCCTGCATCTGCATTTCTGTCTCTCAGATAAGCATTTAGTTCCTGAGCTTGCCACTGTGTTTTGGCCATCTCCAAGTCCCATCATCTCACAAAGAACATGGGAAAAGGGACCCAGTAAGTGCTGGGGGAGATGAAAGTCCTGCCCTCTGCTGTGTTCTTGGTTTACACTCCATCCTTTTGTTTATTCATTCATATACTCATTTGATTCCTGCCCACATGACTTACTCCCAGATATGAAGGGGGACAGAATCCAGTGGTGTTGAGAGTTGGCTTAACTCTCACAGGTAGGTAGAAGCAAGAATAAAGACCTAGGCTCAGGACTGAGCAATGTTTTAGAGAGAGAAGCCAACATTTGACTGAAAAAGTAGGAATTGAAAAAGTGAAAAGTAGGGGTGATGCCATAAACAACAAAGGCTTATAAACAGATTATCCTGGATGATGGTAATTACAGCACCTCATGTTGATAGTGATTTTCAGTTTATAAAACCTAGGCACAGGGATCTTATCTGAATCTTTGAGGTGTAGTTGTGTTTCCCATTGTTCCCCATTTTATGGATGAGGAAACTAAAGCTTCCAAGAGAATTGCTAAGGGACACAGAAGTCACAGAGCTGAGACTCAAAGCCCCACTCTGTATAATCTTCTCACTGCATCAGGCCTCAGTGGCTACAATGGAAGCCTTTTATTTTTTTCTATCTTCCTTCTTTACATTTTGTCCTTCCTTTCACTTATTCAGCAAGTATTTCTGGAAAGGATGAACAAATGATTATTGTGGAGAAGTTAAAACAAGTCTGTAATGGCAAACTGGGGCCAGCCCGTTACATATAATATCCACATCAGACAGGAATGGAGACTTTCTTAACCCCCAAGTCCTCAAAGAAACCTATATTCTAAGTATGGCCTGTATTTACTTGGTAAGAAAATGTAGTTTTGGGGATGAAGAGGTGGCTCAGCGGTTAAGAGCACTGACTGCTCTTGCAGAGGACCAGGGTTCAATTCCCAGCACCCACACAGTGGCTAACAACTGTCCCTAACTCCAGTTCCAGGGGATCGGACCCATTCTTCTGACCTCCTCAGGCATTGCACAACACAGATGCACTTATCAGGCAATACACTCAAACACATTTAAAAAAAAAAAAAAGAAAGAAAATGCAGTTTTGTGTTCTCAAGCTTGCTTCTAAGCAAATTGCTACCCCTAGCCACCTCCAGAAGCTAGAAACTCCAAAAGGCATCAGGGAATCCCTGGCCTTCCATAAGCAGGGGATTTGTGAACAGATCAGGTCCCAGTCTAGAAGGAGGTGTCGGTCCACAAGACAGACTCTTCAGGATGATGGTAAGTGAAGACTGAATAGGAAAGGGCAGGCAGGGCAGGAAACACCCTCCAGGACCTTAGGAATGGATATGCCCCCTTCACTCCTCTATTAGCTGTGATATCCTTGTACTCTTGCCTGGTAATAACTAGATCGCTCCAGCATCATCAACCTGCCTCTGTTACCATCATCCACTTCATATATCATCCTGCCTTGTGTCTTACCAACCATACAAAGTCCCCTTTGACCAAGCTCTGTGACACATTACCTACCCCCACTACTATTTTCTCCCATCCCCTCTGCTTCTAAACCCTCTTTGACCCCTTTTCTTCCTTATCATAGGTCATCTTGTCTTGGATCTCGCCCAGGCTCGGTCCACGCTGGTACTGCCCACAGGCCTTGTTGCTGCGGCTGGCACCATGACAGTGACCCTGTGCAGTAGCCGGGAGCTGCCCTCCAGGCCTGATGGGGTGATGCATGTGGCCCTACCCACTGTGTTCACCCCACTGGCCCAGCCAGGCCCAACAGGGGCCCCCAGGCCTCCAGGGCTCTGTGACGACAGGTTGGGCCTATGGTGATTTTCTTCATCCCTTCCTCAGCTTCTCTGGGTCTAGTTCGGGTGAGGGGGCCCTAGGGGATGGATGGGGTGAGGAGGGGTGGGGGGCAGTCAGCTAGAGGGGCTAGTGACTTTCAGAGTAGGTCAGTGACCCTTTTTCTGCTCCCTTCCAGCCCTACTAGCTGCTTTGGGGTGTCCAGCCCAGAGGAGGAAGGGCTGGCCTGGGAGCAACCAACTGCCTCCCCAGACGTGTTCTCAGGCCCTGCCCACTGCCCTGCCCCATATACCTTCTCCTTTGAGATGCTGGTGACTGGGCCATGTCTGCTGGCAGGTGGGTGTATCTGGCCTAGCCTTTCTACTCCTCCCAGTATGGCAGACTGGGAAAGAATTCAGGGCTCATGGGTGGGAAGAACTGTGAAAAGAAGGCAAAGACAATCTGTCTTGGGACCCTCCAGTCTATTAGTGGGAGCATTCCCTGGCCACTTATTTGTTAATATTATTTTTATTTTGTATATTAATGTTTTGCCTGCATGTATGTAAGTGTACCTGTGCCAATGTCCGGGCAGGCCAGAAGATGGTATCAGATCCCATGAAACTGGAACTTACCAATTGTTAGCTGCAGAGTGGGTGCTGGGAACTGAACCCAGGTCCTCTGCAAGAGCAGCCATCTGATGAGCAATATCTCCAACCTCCCCCCACCTTTTACCTAACAACCCCGACTAATATTTTTGTTTCTGTTTTGCTTGTCTGTTTGAGACAGGGTCTCATGCAGGCTGGCCTCATACTTGCTATGTAGCTAAAGATGATCTTGAACTCCTGATTTTCCTGCCCTCACTGATCAGTCTGAACTGGCTCCCATACTAGTTTTCAGTGTAATATATTTATATACCACTCCATTCACCAATGGCAAGAGAGATACCTAGAATGGGACCAGTCCCAGTGACAGAATGGAGTTCCTTTGTGCAATTGGTTATATCCTTTGACCAACCAGGAACAGAACTGGGAACCCACATTCTAGCCCTTCAAAGCAAATATAGCCTTTCTTGTCTAAGTTTAAAGATCAGACTCTGAAAACTCAGCTGAATCAGTCACAAACCCTGTCCATAGGCACTGTTATCCAGGAAGGCAAGGCCTATGCTTGTGGGGCCAGAGGTAAAGTGACCAACATTCCTCCTTACCTGTCTGTCCCTCAGGCCTGGAGAGCCCCTCTCATGCCCTGCGTGCAGATGCCCTCCCTCATGCCAGCTCTGCAGCCACTATCTGTGTCACCCTGGCAGAGGGCCACCCATGTGATCGGGCCTTGGAGATCCTCTTGCATCCCAGTGGTAAGAGAGGGGGTCACATGGTAGACCAGCTCTGATATGCTCAGGAATGACCTGGGAATCAGTTTTTAAGTATAGATTTCAGAACTCCAGGCAAGATGAACCAAGTTATCTCTGAGGATGGGTCCTGTGAGGCAGGGAGGCTAAGCTTGCAGGGTCCCCTTACGACAGAAGGACTGGGCAGTTGGGGTCCAGAAGCAGGTACTTCCCTGACAGAGTTGCATCCCTTCTTCTTAGAGCCCCATCAGCCACACTTGATGCTAGAGGCCGGCAGCTTAAGCTCAGCAGAGTATGAGGCCCAGATGAGGGCCCGCCGTGATTTCCAGAGGCTGCAGCAAAGAGACAGTGATGGGGAACGGCAGGTATGGCTGAATGGGATCTTGGACTGGCCTCAGGCTTCAGTGCTGGCTGCAACTACACATGAGGAACAGGCAGGCAGGCTCGTGTCTGACGGGTGGGGGCCTCTGTTCTCAGTAAGCTCTTTCTATAGCGGTCCCCACCGTCACAGAAGGCAGCTGAGGATTATCCTAGGAGAGCCTACATGAGTCCATCTGGTCTCCAAGCATGGAGGCGGGTCTAACACAGGCAGATAACAGTCACTTGCCTTCATTCAGATTGCTACAGAAAGGAGCCCCCTCTAGGTGAATCAGATAGAAAATGACCCCAAGGCTGTCTAGGCCCAGCCTAGACAGAGCTGCATTAAACCTGATTCAGGCTAATTCTGGTCTCCTGTACTCAGGTGTGGTTCCTGCAGCGACGTTTCCATAAGGACATCTTGCTGAACCCTGTGCTGGTGCTGAGTTTCTGCCCAGACCTGAGATCCCAGCCTAGACACCTGGGTGCAGCAACTCGGGAGCTCCTCTTCCTGTTGGATGGCAGCAGTGCAGTACACAAGGCCTGTGGGGATCAGGCAGCCCTGGGCATGGGTGGGGCAGCAGGATGAAGCAGGCTGGGGCCAGCCTTTCGAGGTCAAGAGTTCCCTTGCCCAAAGAGGGACCAGATTCCACTTCCCTCATACATATATAAGGTCCCTCCCAGAGTCCAAGAGCTTGTCTCATATAGAGAGACACCTAGATACTCAGACTTCACATAAACCCCCTCCCAGAGTTCCCATACCCAAATGTCTCTCACATACTTCTAGACTCCCTCATATTCCCAGGAACCCACTCATGCAGTCTTTCTCCCATGCGCATGTGAGCTCGCCAACCCTCTTTTTAATCACAGCCTGGAGAAGATAAAAAACTGATGTCCCCTGTTCTCTCACAGTGCCCGTGGGGTTTTCCTCATGCTCCTCTCCTTGGCCCTCTCCAGGATGCCATCATTTTGGCTGTGAAGTCTCTCCCTGCTCAGACACTGGTCAACCTAGCCTTGTTTGGGACCTTGGTACAGCCACTCTTCCCAGAGAGCCGGCCTTGTAGTGATGTGAGTGTGGGTCAGGCTTTGGGGGCTTCATGGAAATGTTTCAGCCCAGCCCAACCTAAGCCTTCTGTCTCCAGGACACTGTGCAGCTGATCTGTGAGAACATTGAGAATCTCCAGGCTGTGAGCAGTTCCCTTGATATTCTGGCTGTATTGGATTGGGCCTTGGGGCAGCCCCAGCACAAGGCCCACCCTCGGCAGCTGTTTCTGATCACTGCTGCCTCACCCATGGCTGCTACTACCCACCAAGCCCTGGAATTCATGAGGTGGCATAGAGGGGCAGCCAGGTATGGAGTGGGCTGATCTAACTAGCTAAGATTGGTACCTCCAAGGTAATCTTGAAGGTCACAGCAGTCTCCCTTCCATCAGGTGCTTCTCCTTTGGGTTGGGACCTGCCTGTCACCAGCTGCTACACGGTTTGTCTGTCCTCAGCAGGGGGCAGGCCTACTTCCTGAGGCCTGGGGAGAGACTGCAGCCCAAGGTGAGTTTGAGCCTGGACTGTGTTCCCTATTCCTGGAAGTCTTCTCCAGAATTACACACGGAATCTAAGCAGAACCTGATCAGGCCATGGGGTCTTGGCACTTTCATTAGGACTTCTTTCTAATCCAGTCTCTCCTTTCCCTGAGCTATGAACCAAAAGAACTACTGATGCTGGGGGAGTAGGTAGGGCTATGGAGGGCCGAAGGTGTGGGGATACAGCCTCTGGCCATTCATCAACTCTGTCATGACCTGGAATGGAGGCTCAGCCTCAAGAAGTCTTCTCATCCATGTGACAAAGCTCAGGCCAGGAGAAAGATCAAGTCCTGAGGACCGTACACTCAATTTCCTCACTTGCTCCAACTCCTGACCCTAACCTCACTCTGCTCATCAGTCCAGGGCTGGGCAGAGGGCAGTCTGCCTGCTCTGTTTGTGACATCTCTTTTTCTCTCATGTTCTCTGGATATTCCTTGCAGCTGGTACAGGCTCTGCGGAAGGCACTGGAACCTGCTTTGAGTGACATCTCCGTAGACTGGTTTGTGCCTGATGCTGTGGAGGCATTGCTGACCCCCCGGGAGATCCCAGCACTCTACCCTGGGGACCAGCTGCTCGGCTACTGCTCACTCTTCAGGGTGGATGGCTTCCAACCCCGTTCTCTCAGGGTAGGCTGACCCTGGGGCATGTTAGACGGGCCTGGGTGGCTGAGGTCCTTGCTGCCCTTCTTCCCCTTCTTTGCTGGGTACCTCTATGGTCTCCTAGAGACTGCCTTGGGATCCTCAGTGACTGCATTCTGCTCCTCTTATGGGTCTTTGCAGTGGGTTACCCTGTAGTGTTGCACTTGATTTTCTTGTAAAAAATTTTAAATTACATTTATTTATGTTTGTGCCTGTGTGCACACACATACACACCATGCCACACATGTGGAGGTCAGAGGACTGCTTGTGGGAGTTGGCTCTCTCCTTCCATCTTGCAGGCCCCAGGAATTGAACTCAGGTTATCAGATACGGTGGCAAGCACCTTACTAATACACAGTGCCTTATAGGAAGCACCATCTGAGACATTTCCTGTGACACTTGGGGATGGATGAGCTTTCCATTGGTACCACTTATATTCCCAATTTGTCACTATTTAGGAAAGTCACTTAACCTCTCCCAAGCCCATTTCCTCCTATGTAAATACTGTTTCATAGGTTGTTGTAATGATACGACTTGAATACTCTTGGCAGGATACTTGGCACTTGAGATACAGCATTTCTTACTTTATGAAAAGTTGTACCTCCCTAGAAGAACTATGTATGTTTCCTCCTTTTGGTTGTGAGCCTGAACCTTTAATAGCTGTGCCAGCTCTCCAGCCCACTTCTTCCTTTAAAAAACATTTTTTTTTTTTTGCCTTTTTGAGACAGGGTCTCCCTACAGCCCCAGCTGGCCTGGAACTCAGTATGTAGACCAGGCTGGCCTTGAACTCACAGAGATCCACCTGCCTCTGCCACCCAAGTACTGGGACTAAAGTCATGCAACCACCATTACTTTTTTTTTAAAAATTATTTGGGGGGGCTGGAGAGATGGCTCAGAGGTTAACACCAGATGTTCTTGCAGAAGACCCGGGTTTGAATCCCAGCACCCACATGGCAGCTAACAACTGTCTATAACTCCAGTTCCAGGGGATCTGACAGCCTCTTCTGTCCTCCGAGGGCATTGCATGACACGGGTGCACTTGCCTATATGCAGGCAATACATGCATACACATAAAAATAATAAATGAGCCAGGCGTGGTAGTGCATGCCTTTAATCCCAACACTTGGGAGGCAGAGGCAGGCGGATCTTTGTGAGTTCCAGGCCAGCCTGGTCTACATAGCAAGTTTTAGGATAGCTGGGGCTACAGGGAGACCCTGTCTCAAAAAGACAATAAAACAAAAAACAAACAAAACAATAAATGAAATACTAAAAAAAGTTATTTGGAGCTGGGTGTGCTGGCACACATCATTAATCCCAGCACTTGTGATGCCAAGGCAGGTGGATCTCTGTGAGTTTAAGGCCAGCCTAGTCTACATAGCAAGTTCCAGGCCAGCTGGAGCTATAGGGAGACCCTATCTCAAAAAAAAAAAAAAAAAAAAACCAAAAAAAACAAAAAAAAAAACATTATTTGGGCTGGACTGGAGAGCTGGCACAGCTGTTAAAGGCTCCTGCTCACAACCAGAAATTATTTGGACTAAGGTGACAGCTCAGTGGGTAAAGGTACTTGCTGACAAGTCTGATGACACAAGTCCAATCCCTGGGACTCGGCGTGAGTGCACACACACACACACTTTTATTACATTTGTATTTACTTATGTCTGGGTGTATGCATTCTACAGTAGACCAGAGGACAACTTTGTGGACTCAGATCCACTTTTACATGAGTGCCAGGGATCAGACACAGGTTGTCAGGCTTGCACAACAAGCACCTTTACCCACTGAGCTGTTCTGCTGGCCCTTCTTTTTATTTGAGACAGAGTCTCACTACACAGCCTTGGCTGGCCTGGAACTCAGAGACCTGCCTGCCTCTGCCCCCTGTTTCTTCCATATCAATACTGACCTTTTGCTTTTGGATTATTAGCTTTTACTTGCTATGACACATCTTGAATTGTGCTTGGAAAGAGGTAGCATAAGGCTACAACCAATTCTTTCCTCAATATTTTCCCCAGGGCCAAGAGCCTAGCTGGCAGAGCTTGGGTGGCTCAGTGTTCCCATCTCCAGAGGAAGCACCATCTGTCACCAGCCCTGGCACTGAGCCCACACACACCACAGAGCCACTGGGAACAGGCACTGTGTCAGCAGAGCTGTCCAGTCCATGGGCTGCTGGCGACTCAGAGCAGAGTGAGTACCCTAACAATGTATATAGCTGTACTGGAGGGCAATGGGAGGGGTCAGGGCTGAGCTCACTCTCCTCCTGCGTCCCAACAGGTACTGATGCTCTGACAGATCCAGTCACAGACCCTGGACTCAATCCCTCCTCAGACACAGCTATATGGCGCCGCATCTTCCAGTCTTCATACATCCGGGAGCAGTATGTGCTTACTCACTGCTCTGCCAGCCCTGAACCAGGCCCAGGATCCACCTGCAGTAGCGAGTCCCCAGGCTCCCAGGGCCCTGGCTCCTCTGATGGTAGCCTTCCCTTGGATCCACCTTCACAGCAGGGCTGCCGCAGCCTGGCCTGGGTAGAACCTGCCGGCTCCCGATCCTGCCCCCTTCCTGTACCCCCACCATCTCCATTCAAGGTAAGATCTGGCCCACATTCATCCATCATGTATCCTGCAAACATCTAGCACCTGCTGTATACCAGGCACCTTGCAAGGTTTATTAGTAAGTCCAGCTAGAGATAGATGGGTAAATCTATATTGATGATATCACACAGCCAGTGGTGAATACAGGGATGGTATTATGGGGGCTCAGGGTCAGAATGACTAACTCTGCTAACTATGAAAAGTAATCTACGTCAGGGAGAATAAGGAAGTCAGCTAGACAGAGAAGACATAACAGTCAAGAAACAACCTGAAGTAATGGAGTTAGATGACAGAGCATGTAGCCAGCTGCATGTTTATGATGGCCTGAATTCTACTTTTTTTTTTTTTTTTTTTTTTTTTAAAAAGGGTCTCCCTGGAGCCCCAGCTGTCCTGAAACTCACTATGTAGACCAGGCTGGCCTTGAACTCACAGAGATCCACCTGCCTCTGCCTCCCAAGTGCTGGGATTAAAGGCGTGCGCCACCATGCCCAGTGGAATTCTACATTCTTTAACCAGTGACCTCCCACATCTTATGTGCAGGTGGGAGCCCTAAGTGCGGAGGTGCTGGGCCGACAGCACAGAGCAGCTCTAGCTGGCCGAAGTCTCTCATCTCCACTAGGCAGGGCAAACCCAGTCCCTGGTCGACCCCGGCACCCATCTCTAGATGTAGTACCAGACGGATCAGGCCCTGAGCCAGGACAACAGTTGGGTCAGGGCCTGGATGATTCTGGTAAGGGCTATATGGAAGCTGAGTTTCCTGATACCAAAGCCGTAGGGAAGTGGAATGCAGTGTACCACATTGCCTATACCCTTTACATCTCTCCCCAGGAAGCCTGCTCTCCCCAGCCCCCTTAGACTGGGATATGTTGATGGAACCATCTTTCTTGTTCAAGGCTGTGCCGCCCAATGGGGAAACAGTCCCTCCAGCAGAGCCTCTGCCTCCCCAGGCTCCACGCTGCCATGTGGTGATCCGGGCTCTGTGTGGGGATCAGCCAATGTGCTGGGAGGTGGGTGTTGAACTGGAGGAGCTTTGGGGGCCTAGGGATGGCTTACAGCCTCCATCACCCCCTCTAAGAGAAGCTGCATGGGATCAAGCATTCCACCGGCTGACAGCAGCCTCTGTGGTCCGGGACAATGAACGGCTGGCTCTCCGAGGAGGGGCTGAGACCACAACTGACCAGGGTGAGTTGCTAGTGGACACAGCCAAGGCTCAAAGACATAGGGCAGAAAGTGGCAAAGGTAGAGATCCATGTGCTAGATCACTCTATTCCTTGCTTTGTTCACAAAGGATTTGAGGTTACACACTGTACTGACAAGGTAAGAATTCAAGTAGAGCAATGAGAAAAAGTGAAAAGAAAGGAAACTAAGAATTAAGGTATATTAGAAGATACATACTATTCAATTACATAATCTTGCAAGCATGGGACCCCAAATTAGCAAGCTTCCTAGCAGCCAACAAGAAAGGTAACATGATCTTATATTAATATGAAAGGTAACATGATCTTGTAATAATAAAGTGCCCATAACATGAAAACAGATCTTTGTTATCAAGAAGACTATTAAAATCAAAGTTAAAATCTCAGTCTGTCATAATCACTAGTCACATTTTAGGTACTCAATCGTTACATGTGGCTAATGGCTACCATATTGGATTATTCAGACATAGAACATTTTCACATTTGAATAAAGTTCTATTGGACAGTGCCAAAATGAGTGGTAGACAATGCACCGAATGCTGGGTATAGTGGCGTATGCCTGAAATCCCAGTACTTGGTAGGCTAAGGCAGGAGCATTCAGAGTTCTGGGCCAACCTGGGCTACATGGTTAGCTCCTGTTAAAAACAACAAAAAGCCAGATGTGGAAGCATATGCTTTTAATCACAGGAGAGGCAGGCAGATCTCTGTGAGTTCAAGGTCAGCCTGGTCTACATATCAAGTTTCAGAACAGCCATGGCTACATAGTGAGACCCTATTTAAAAAAAAAAGCTCGGTGTGGTGGTACACAGCACATACCTATATCATAGCATTCAGAGACAGAGGCAGGAGAATCAAACTAACCTATATAGTGAGTTCTAGCTATGAACATGTGGCAAGGCAGTCTCAACAAAAGGCACCAGGTAATGTTAATCTGAGTGGTGTCCGGACTAACTATTGGTTGAGGGTTCAGCCTACTGTCAAAGTTAGGGAGAGCTGGTTCTGGACCAAAGACGGCAATCCACTCTGTTCAAAAGTAAGCTGAGCTGGGCGTGGTGGTGCACGCCTTTAATCCCAGCACTTGGGAGGCAGAGGCAGGCGGATCTCTGTGAATTAAAGGCCAGCCTGGTCTACATAGTGAGTTCCAGGACAGCTGGGGCTACAGGGAGACCCTGTCTCAAAAAGACCAAAAAATGAAAAATAAAAAAAGTAAGCTGAGAGAGAAGCCATGGGACCCATTCTATAGAGGGTGGGATCTGAGCATGCTGTTTCTTGGATCCACAGGCCATATCCGAAGGTCCTGGCTCCGAGCCCTTCAGACAAGTAAGGTCAGCTCTGCCCCCTCCTGCTTTACCTGCCCTGTTGCTGTGGATGCTGCCACTAGGGAGGTCTTGCCTGGAGCCCTGCAGGTGTGGATTTCAGGTAGGGTCCTTCCCTGGTGACCTCAAAGGCATGGCTCTCACCTTACTGGTTACTCAGTGGGACAAACCTGACCCTGTGCTCCCACAGAGCCAGCTGAACTCTCAGGAACTTATGCTTCTCAAGGTCATCTAGTTGCAGCTTCTCTGCCCAAAGCAGTTCACTCTAAAGGTATGGCTGAAATATAGGGAGAGGGCTGGGCACAGAGCACTCTGTGGTACTGGGTAGCTCTACTGTAGGACTTCTGGAAGGCTCTTCTGCAGGTGCCTGGGACCTGGACCTAAATGACAACTCTAAGTCAGCTTTCTGGGAATCTACATCTACTGGAGGTCCTGATCACCTGCCCCTTCAGCCTCCAGCCTCCCCCAGGCTCAGCCTGGGCGGTGTCCATCATCACAGACTCTATAGCCCCAATAAGGGCCAGGCCAGTGAGGGCAATAGCAAAGGCAGCAACCATGACTACCTACCCTTGGTGAGGACTCCGGAGGTGGAGGGTGGTACTGCTGCTGCCAGGGTACTGTCTCAGCTCCCCTCTCCCCCCATCTCCTCTTTCCTCAGGTGAGACTGCAAGAGGCACCAGGTTCCTTCCGCCTGGATGAGCCCTTCTGCGCTGCAGTGTGCATTCCTCAAGAACGCTTGTGCCGAGCCTCACCCTTTGCTGCACACCGGGCCAGCCTCAGTCCCACCTCAGCTTCATCTCCCTGGGCACTTCTAGGCCCTAGTACTGGCCAGGGTGACAGTGCCACAGCCTCTTGCAGCCCCTCCCCCAGCTCAGGCTCTGAGGGTCCAGGTCAGGTAGACAGTGGGCGGGGCTCAGATACTGAGGCCTCAGATGGAGTGGAAGGGCAAGGTGGCTCAGGCTCAGATCTGCGGGGCCGCACATGGGCCACAGCAGTGGCTTTGGCCTGGCTGGAGCACCGCTGCGCAGCTGCCTTTGGCGAATGGGAACTGACAGCATCAAAGGCTGATTGCTGGCTAAGGGCCCAACGCCTGCCTGATGGCCTTGATCTGGTTGCCCTCAAAGCTGCTGCCCAGGGGCTGTTCCTGTTACTGCGCCACTGGGACCAGAATCTGCAGCTACATTTGCTGTGCTATAACCCATCCAGTGTGTGAGGGCTGCCTGAAGTTCTGGCTGGCGACTCCCCAACACTTACATCACTGCCACCCAGGGCCAGTCTCTCAGTACTGGGAAAGAATAAGCTGGTGGTTGAGCCAGGTGTGGTGGCACACTCCTTTAATCCCAGCACTCAGGAGGCAGAGGCAAAGGCAGAGGCAGGTGAATCTCTGTGAGACTGAGGCCAACCTGGTCTTCTGGTGAGTTCCAGACTAGCTGTGGCTGCTATAGAAAGACCTTGTCTCAAAAAGACCCCCCCCCCTTGCAAAAAGGTGTATATTGTCCTCCACTGCTTCTCATCCCCTCCCCAGAATCCCCTTACCACCAGAGAAAGTGCCTGCCTGTGGTCTCTTCCCTCTCCTCCCACCCCATACCTTTTTCCCTATGTGCTGAGCTCTCTGCAGGAGTGGAAGGTGAGAGAGCCACAGTCCCAAATCCTATGCAATAAAGTGCCTCTTAGGACTGCTTAATGAGTTCTTTATGTGTTGGGCAGATGCTCCTCACAGCTTGGTCTACACACTAGCTACCACTGTCTCCATGTAGGCTCACAGAGGTGGGCTTGGCACTATTTATTCAGAAGACCACACAGTCCATTCCACCCATGATCCTGAAAGCATACCAGAAGGAAAGGAGCGGATTTCAGTGGGCTTTTTTGCTAGGCTGGATGCTCTTGGGGAAAGACTGTGGGCCCAGCCAGAGCTGCAGCAGGATGACAGCATGGCATATGTGCAGGGCAGCAGAGCTGCAGGATGTGGATGGGTATGTGTTCCATGAGAGCTCAATGAGTCCCAGCACCAGTAACCTGGAGATGAGAAACAGTTTCATCTAGTTTCAAGGGCTTCTCATGCCCTGGACCCATCCCCCATCCCTCCATGGTCACAGCCTTGGGATGAGGAGATTTCTAGCCTGGTTGTTCCATCCAGTACCTGAGCAGGTGTGTGAGCCAACGTGCAGGCGTGGCCCACAGGAGGTAGGGCAGTGTGTGGAAATACCAGACATAGAACTGGTAGTGGAGGGAGCGGCTAAAGCAGATGCCAATGAAATTGGAGGTGAAGAGGGTAGAAACAATCTGTAATTTGATGGTTAAGGCCAAGGGCAGGAAAAGAAAGGTTTCAGGATGGGGGCTCAAAGCAGAGTGGCAAAAGTTCTGGGCTCAGAAACCTCCCCAGCTCTGCCATTCCAACATGTATGGTTTGGACAAGCTTCACAGCCTCAAACCAGGCATGGTGGCACACACCTTTAATCCCAGTACTAAGAGGCAGAGGCAGGCAGATCTCTGTGAGACTGAGACCAGCCTGGTCATCACAGCCTCTCTGGATCTTTCAGTTTAGTACAGAGACAGGACGATATGGCCTAAAGAGTTTGAATCCCTTACTAGCTGGTAAGATACTTAGCCTCTTAGAGCTTTAATTTTTGCCTTCTATAAAATTAAGGTGGCACACTCCTTTCATCCCAGCACTCAAGGCAGGCGGAGTGGCAACTGGAGGAGTTCCAGGCCTGCTGGAGCTACAAGGAGACTTTGTCTCAAAAAGACCAAATAATAATAATAATAGTCATAATAATAATAGGCTGGAGAGATTGCTCAGTGGTTAAGAGCCATCTGTAACTCCAGTTCCAGGGGATCTGATGCCCTCTTATGGCTTCTGGGGCACTGCATATGAGCGCACGTACATGCAGGCATAATACACTCATAAAATAAAGGGCTGGAGAGATGGCTCAGTAGTTAAGAGCACTGACTGCTCTTGCAGAGGACCTAGGTTCAATTCCCAGCACCCACATGGCGGCTCCTTAACTTCAGTTCCAGCAGTTCCAGGGGAATCCGAAGCCCTCTTCTGACCTCCGCGGCATTGCACGACACGGGCGCACTCACATACATGCAGGCAATACACTCATACACATAAAATAAAAATAAAAAAAATATTTTAAAAACCAGACCCCACCCAAATACTTTAGCAAGATTGCTGTTATGCACATAAAAATAATAAATTTTTAAAAATTTAAAAAATAATAATGAATAAAAATTTTAAAAATTAAGACAATAAAAGTACCTCCCTAACTCAGGGTCTCTGGTAAGCTTTAAATATAAGGATATATGGAATCTTTGGACAGTACCAAAAAGAAGGTCTATGTACTCATAATGATGGCTCAATATTTAGAATTAAGACTAAAATATGCTGCAATGCTAAAGGTGTTCAGAACAGTGCTTGCTGCAGAGGAGCTCTACAAATGGGCTCCTCTTCTTTTCCTGAGGTCACAAGCCACCAGAGGCCCACAGACCAGGATCCATTTGTACTTGGAGAGATCAAAACTTACCTTTCCATGATTTAAAGGATATGATCGGGTGTGAGGGGCTGGGGTGGAACTTTCCTTTTGGAAGGGTCTTTCAGCAGTGACAGGATACTTTCCCCTGACCTGGAAAGAAGCCATTTAGACACTTATCAGGCCCCTATTGTGGGCCAAATTCTAGATTCACATGTACCCCCCATGGACTTAATATATCCCCCAAATTACTCTTAAGGCCTATGCTCTTCATGCCATTCCCCAAATCTGCTTATGATATTGACCCTCGTTTCTCACCTGTGCCATCTACAGAGAGCAAACAGCAAGAGGAGGATAAGGTGGGCAGCCAACAGGGCCAGATGGAAGGCACGATGCAGGAAGAGGGCCTCAGGAAGGAAGCGCCAATTCACTGTCCATCGGAAGAGAAACTGGCGACCAAGGTCAAAAGAGCGGGATAGGTAGCCAATTGGGTTCTCCAGCAGGAAAGGCAGCCCCAGCACCACCTGAGGATGGGTATGATGCCAACAGAGCTGCAAAGTTTGCACCCAGCCTTCAGGGTAGGCACTTAGGAGAGTAGAGTGAGATGGAAGGCCCTAAAGTTCCCTTATTCTCGATAGGAGTATCAAGAAAGTCTCCCTACTCCCATCCCCTGCCCTCATCCCTGACACCCAGGGAAGCCTAGAAGGCAGCAACAGCACTGCCTTCCTTGAAATTCCACCAGGGCTGAAGCAGGGAGAGCTGGGAAGCCTCTGAGAGGCCTGCCAAGTTCAGTGGCCATAGACCCTAAAGCACAGAGAGTGGCTGCCCAGCTCAGAATCAACTGCAAACTCTTGTCTGTTGGCTTTGAGGAAGCCCCCCAATATTCAAGGAGGCCCAAAAGTAGCCTTTTCTCATCAGTAGGGGGAACATGATGGAGAGGTACCTGAAGAGCAGCACAGATGCCCAGCTTTGGGAGGGCACCACGGAAGCCAAACTGGGTGAGGAGAAGGAATAGCAACCCAGGGGCAAAGAGCAGTACATTCATCTTCACAGAGACTGCCAGGCTAGAATGGGTAAGGGAGAGGAGGGTGGAAGGTGAGCTCCAGGACTATGAGCTCCACGCAAAGACCACCAGCCCATAGAGACTCCGCTCTTCAGGCCAGCAAGCAGCAAGATGCAGTCCCCATTAAGAACTGCTAGGGGAGAGTAAGATAGCTGGGGGGATGGCCAGTGTGACATCTAGCCCCTATGTTCAGACTGACTGAACACCATACTGAGTGACATATTTACAATGTTCAAAGATCAGCTCCAACAATAGATGACATCTGGGGAGAAGATGGAGGGAAGGGCATGGGGAAAGAGGGATGGTCTACAGATCCTAGACCTGCTCAGTGAGGCCTAAAGGGACCAACATTATCTAGCTACTCCCTTACACCCTCTACTGCAGAAAATTGGGGAGAAAGATATAGAAATGCCCACCTTGGGCATGGTGGTACATACCTTTAATCCTAGCACTTGGGAGGCAGAGGTAGGTGGATCTGAGATCAAGGCCAACCTGGTCTACATAGTGAGTTTCAGGCCAGCTGGGGGTACAGTGAGACCCTGTCTAGAAAAAAAACAAAAAACAAAAAACAAAACAAAACGATATGCCCAAAGTGACAGGTAGCTAGAAAGGAAAGGTACCAACCTGAAACAGCAGCAGCCCCAGCACCAGTGCTGAGCCAGGAAGAGGTTGATGCTGAGGAAGAGCAGTGCCATAGCCACTGGATCATTGAAGAGCCGCAGTACAAAGATGGAGTGGACACGATAAGAGGCACAGCACATGAAGAAAAAGACAAAGGGAGGTACCTGAAGGGTAAATACATTGGGGAACAAGGTCAGCTCCCTAAATCTGGGTCATCCCCCGACTCATCATTTCAGGCAAGGGCTACTTGGTCCTAGTAGCATAAACTCACCTTGCAGGTCTGATGGTATATCAAGAAAACAAGCAGCAAATTGACCAGGTAGAGCACAGCAAAGATGTTCTGGGCCATGGGGATGTCAGTGCCTCGGCCAGTAGCATAGTATAGGCCCATAAAGATGTATACAAAACCAGCTGGGTAGCTGGAAGATGAGAGGGACTATGAGCCTAGGTCAAGCTAATCAGCCTTCACATTCTCCCCAAACCTCCTATCCTCACTCACACAAGAGGTCCGGTGTCACCCTGCAGCTGTGTGTAGTCGTATGTGCCATTGATGACACCCTCCACCTGGGCCATGTAGGCCTTCCAGTCAATCTCTGTGTCTGGAAGAGGACAACATGGTCTAGTTACTTCTGAGTTCAGAACTTGTCTGCCTCTAACCCCCAAACCTCCAGACCACCAAAGCACAGAGTACCAGCTCATTCCCAGGGCTTCTTCCATCACTTCTTACCTAATGGCCAACAGGACATTCTCTGGGAGGTTTGCACACATGTATGCATGTGTGTATGTGTGCATATGTACGTGTGGAGACCAGAGGTTGATATTATGTCTTCTTCCATCACTTTCTACCTTACATACTGCGTCAAGGTCTCTTATGTCACCCTGGGCTCAATGACTGGGCTAGTATAGCTAGCCAGTTTGTTCTAGGGATCCTCTCCCTCTGCCTTCCAAGTGGTAGGATTGCAGGTGGACCACCTGCCTGGCAATTATGTGGTTATTGAAGATCTAAACTCCGATTCTCCCACTTGCATGGTAAACACTTCACCTGCTGAGCCATCTCCCCAACCCCATGAATCCAGGTATCTCAAATTCAATATCTATAATTGAACTCATGTTTTTCCTACTCCAAAACTACTCTCCTTCCTGGGTTCCACAAGTAGTATCACAAACCAATTATCATTGTTATATCCTACTCTCTCTTTCAGTTCTTAAAAAAAATTTTTTTTTATGTGTATGAGTGTTTTGCCTGCAGAAGAGGGTGCCACATCCCCTGGACCTGGAGTTATAGACAGTTGTTGGCGGCCATGTGGGTGCTGGGAACTGAACCTAGGTCCTCTGCAAGAGGAGCCAGTGCCCTTAACTGCTGAGCTATCTCTCTAGCTCCCTTTTCAGTTCTTCAAAGTCGTCAGGCTTGCTCTCTCTTGCTTTCTTTTTTGCATGTTTTTTCACTTATAGGGGTAGGTACACATGAAATGTGGAGACTAGAGGTTAGTGTTGAATATCTTCCTTCATTCTCTCTCTCTCTCTCTCTCTCTGTCTTTATGTGTCCCAGGCTGGCCTTGAACTCACAAAGTAGCCAAGGATAACCTTGAACTTCTGATCCTCCCGCCTCCATCTCCCTACTGGGATTACAGATGTGTACCATTAAGCTTGGTTTTCTCTTTCCTTTTTTTTTTTTTTTTAAATTTTAGCATATTTATTTATTATTGTATGTGATATGTATGAAGTGTGTGTGGCTATATGCATGCTATGGTATGTGGATGGAGATAGGAGGACAATTTTGTAGAGTCAGCTCTTTTTATTTATTTATTTTAAATTTTATATGTATGCGTGTGTTGCCTGCATGTAGGTAAGTGCACCTGTGTCGTGCAGTCCCACAGAGGACAGAAGAGGCTGTCGGATCCCCTGGAACTGGAGTTACAGATAGTTGTTAGCTGCCGTGTGGGTGCTGGGATTCAAATCCGGGTCTTCTGCAAGAACAAGTGTTCTTAACCCCTGAGCCATCTCTCCAGCCCCAGCTCTTTTTATCTTTATGTTGGTTTCAGGGATTGAACTCAGGTTACGAAATTTATAGAGAAAGCACTTTTCCCTACTGAACCATCTCAGCTTCCTCCCTCCCTCCCTCTTTCTTTCTCATTCTGGAGCTCAGATTAGCTTGAAACCCACTATACAATTCTCCTGCCTCAGCCTCCTGGGTGTTTGTAATATAGGTATAAATCACCACATCCAGCTTTTTTTTTTTTTTTTAAATGGTCTTTCTGTGCAAGGCTGGCCTTGAACTTGTAGCAATCATCCTGCCTCTGCCTCCCAAGTCCTGGGATTACAGGTATATGCCACCAAACCTATTATTTTTTTGTATTTATTTATTTATCATTTTGAGACAGGGTCTCCCTGTAGCCACAACTGGCCTGGAGACCAGGCTGGCCTTGATCTCTGCCTTGCTGAGATTAAAGGTATGTGCCACCATGCCGGCTTGATAGAGGTTTCTGATACAGAATTCTCTTTGCCTAGAGGGCTCTGCCCCTCCCCTCATCTTTCTTTCCTCCTCACCCGGCTAGTTCTTACCTACTTTCCAAAGGGGGGACAAATATCAAACTTTCTCTGACTTTCAAAGCCCTCATCCTTTTTGAGATAGGCTCTCCCTGTAGCCCCAGCTGGCCTGGAATTCACTATGTAGATCAGGCTGGCCTTGAACTCAGATATCTGCCTGTCTCTAACTCTGGACTGCTGGGATTAAAAGGCACCATCATGCTGTTCCCCCCACCAACTTCTGCCCTTTTAAGACAGAGTCTCACAATGTAGCCTCATCTGGCCTGCAGCCTCTCCAGTGCTGGAACTGTTTGGCCTTTTATGGCTGTTTGGCCTTTTATGGCAACCTGTCTTATGGCTATCATGATGAATATGATGTATTCTGAGTGCCTGCTAACATATCCTTGCTCAGGTCCACATATCCAAATTTGAAATATCTCTTATTCAACACTGTATATCTGGCATATAATAAACAATAATCATGTATCCAATGAATCATCTTCAGCTAGAAACCCTGGGGCCTAGACCCCAGTGTCTGTATTCTTTCTGGACAGAAGCCACCAGCAATGCCTATTTTGGACTCAGATGGTCACAAAATGTCAGCCATCAGAAGAAACGTTCACGACCTAAGAATTAAATGCATGAAAAACCTAGTACCTGGGAGGCAAAGCGACTGTCCAAGAATACATACAGGGAGCAGCTGAAGCAGCACATTGACTGGCTAGAATCGACTTCCAGGCTGATTTTGCTTTCCTAGCCTGGCAAGCTGGATGTGCAATGCAGTGGGTAATCTTTAGGGTCGCCCCCCCGCCCTCCCCGCCGGCCTTTTGAGAGATTATAGCCACATTTTCTGACAAGTAGGCTCAGTACTCTTGATAAAAGATATGAGTCTCTGGAAATGAATGAATGCGCTGTAATCTACTTTGCGTAAGAGGGTCGTGTCTCCCTCCCTCCGGTTCTCGCCCCTTCAGCGAACTCACATGCCACCCTGTGAATGACCCAGAAGGTGATGCCCACCTCTGCCAGGCAGAGGCAGGAGGCCACCAGCAGCGTGTAGCGCGGCTCCCGAAGCAGTAGGCGGCGTTCTTGCCAAGCGCGCTGTAGCCATTGTCTCCAGAGACCCGCTGGCTGGGCCGCCGAAATCGGCGGACAACGTTTCCGCAGTCCAGCAGCCATCTTGACCGTGCGCCGCTCTTGTGTTCCCACCACGCAGGAAACCCAGCCCTTCCACACTAGGTTCCGCTCCTCGCGTTGAGCCTCCGATCAAAAGATGACCCGAGTAACCAGAATCCTTTACTCCATCAGTTTATTTCTTCTACATTTAGCTCCTTCGGCGGTCTACACTCTGTTATAAAGGAAACAAAGTTTTACTTCTCAGTGTCCGGGGCACACGAGCGCTAAAATACCAGCAAGCTTGCCCAGAAAAACAAGTTTCTAGCCCCTGCTCTCCAAGCTCAACATTCCACTTAGCCCGTATCGAGAGTAACTGCCCTCATGCTGGAGGGCAAAGTTCCTTTCTGCGCCCCTGCCACTTTCCTACAGTGTTCAAAATGTCTTGGGAAGAAGTGACTCTTTCACTAATCAATGGAAGGAACTGTCCAAACCGAACGTGAGAGGACGCAGTGAAGAGCCTGGGTGAGTCACAGGAGGAAATGTGCTCGCGTGGTAGACGCGCGGTACAAAGGGAAGACTCACGATCCAGTGGTTTTCCAGCCGGAGGATTTTCAAAATTGAGCTTAGAAAATGACGGAAGTTCCACGTGTTAGAGCTGAGCAACCATGCTTGGTGGGCGGAGACACAGGCCACGCCTCCCGTCTCCTGCCTCCGCTAATTGGCCTCTTCCATCCCGGCTCTAGCTGCGGGGCAGCTGTGAGCATGGCCTCTCCTCCAGCCCCCGCGTCCGCTCCGTGCTTACCCGAGCAGAACTTGGACTACTGCAAGGTTCAGTACTGGGACCAGCGCTACAAGGACGCGGCCGTTTCGGGACCCTACGAGTGGTTTGGGGACTTCGCCTCCTTCCGTGCCCTCCTGGAGCCGGAGCTGAGGCCTGAGGACCGGATCCTCGTGCTAGGTGGGTAGTCCCAGCTCTGTCTGACCTGGGGACGCTGGCTGCGGCGGCCCTGCCTGGCCAGACTTCGTCTGCTTTCCTCTCCGTCTGTTTTCTCCTCCGCGAGGACGCCTCAGTTCCGAGCCAAGACCTTCAGAATCCGTCTGTATTTAGCCAGGGCAAACAAGAGTAAGAGATCGACTGCCCTCTGGAAAAAGACAGCCCTTTGGTGTCTCAGCGTGAGAAATGACCGGGTCCCAGACTCCGGAGGTAGCCTCCGGCACCGGAGAGCTCATCTCTGAGGATCCACTTCAAGTTCCAACACTAATTAACCGTGTAACCTAGGACAAATCTTGAATCCGTTGTGCGCCTCAGTTTCCATTTCTAAAAATGGGACTGAGAATCCTTTTGTTGTTGTTTTGAGATAGAGGCTCACTTTGTAGCCCTTGCTGACCTGGAACTCATAGAGACCCATTTGCTTCTACCTCCTCAGTGCGGGGATTAAAGGTGTGCGCCACCACGCCCGGCTCGGCTATAATTTTTAAATAAAATAAATCTTAAAAAAAATAAAATAGGGGTTGGGGATTTAGCTCAGTGGTAGAGCTCCGAAAAAAATAAAATGAAATAAAATAATTAGGGGCCGGGCGTGGTGGCACACACCTTTAATCCCAGCACTCGGGAGGTAGAGGCAGGTGGATCTCTGAGTTCAAGGCCAGCCTGGTGAGTTCCAGGCCAGCTGGGGCTACAGGGAGATACTGTCTTAAAGTGTGTGTGTGTGTGTGTGTGTGTGTGTGTGTACTTGAGTGCAGGTGCCCACAGAGGCCAGAAGAGAGTGTTGGAATTCCCCTGCAGCTGTATGTAGTTACAGGAGGTTGTGAGCCCCTACACTCATTGTGGGTACTGGGAACCAAACTTGGATTCTCTGCAAGCAGTATGTACTCTTAATTTCTGAGTGTGTGTGTGTGTGTGTGTGTGTGTGTGTGTGTACTTGAGTGCAGGTGCCCACAGAGGCCAGAAGAGAGTGTTGGAATTCCCCTGCAGCTGTATGTAGTTACAGGAGGTTGTGAGCCCCTACACTCATTGTGGGTACTGGGAACCAAACTTGGATTCTCTGCAAGCAGTATGTACTCTTAATTGCTGAGCCATCTCTAGAGCCCCATGGTTGAGATTTTTAAAAAAATTTTATATGTATGAATATTTTGCCTGCATGTATGTATGTAAGTGCACCACCTGTGTTTAGTGCGAGAGAAGGTCAGAAGAGGCTGTCATATCCCTTGGAGTGATGACAAACAGTTGTGAGCCACCTGCTGAATGCTGGGAACTGAACCCTGGTCCTCTGTAAGAGCAGCCAGTGCTCTTAACCACTAAGCCATCTTTCTAGCCTCCCAAAAATCTTTTGTTTGTTTGCTTTTTGTTGTTGTTTTGTTGTTTTTTTATTTTTTATTTTTTTGAGACAGGCTTCCTGTGGGACCAGCCTGGCCTCATGTCATAGAGATCCACCTGCTTCTGCCTCCCTAGCTCTGGGATTAAAGGTGTATGCCACCACACCCAACACCCAGGATTGCTAATTCTTGTAACCGCACAGGCACCTTGAACACAATACCTAGAGCTCTTCTTTTCCCACCAGTGGGCACCTGGAACCCTTGTCAGGGGGAATTACCACTTATTTGAACCCCAGCTTAGTTCTAAACCATAAGGGAGGGTGGAACAGCACCTTTTGAGGTTTGATGGGGGAATTGCAGCTAATGTTGGTGTAGTTTCTCAAAGAGAAGTGCTAGGCTGCAAGGCAGATCTCTGAGAGGGTCCAGCTGCCCCATTTGCTGGTTTTCTCCCATTGTTGACCTGGAAGTCCTTAGGGAAGTTTGAATGAGCAAAGAGTTGCTTTCTAATTTAGTTTAAAATTCTTTTTTTCTCTGTAAAATCCTGGATATATTTAAGTGAAATACTTAAGTGAAAGGAATATTTCATAAGCATCCAGTATATCTGTAAGGTATAAATAATCTAATGTGTGTGCCTGTCTATTCAGTTTGTGAAGTAGAGGACAACTGGGACTAGAAAGAAAGTATAATCTAGAAGTTAAGAACTTAGACTTTGGGGGCAGGAGAGATGGCTTAGCGATTAAGAGCACTGACTGCTCTTGCAGAGGACTCGGGTTCAATTCCAGCACCCACATGGAAGCTACGAACTGCCCCTCTTCTGATCTCCACGTCATTGCATGACAGGAGTGCACTCACATACATGCAGGTAATACACTCATACACATAAAATAAAAATAATAAATAAAATATTTTTTAAAAAAAAGAACTTAGATTCTGTAGCCAGGCGTGGTAGTGCATGTCTTTGGTCCCAGCACTCAGGAGGCAGAAGCAGATAGATCTCTATGAGACCAAGGCAAGCCTGGTGGTCTACATAATGAGTGCCAGGCCAGCTGGGAGATCCTGTCTTAAAAAGACCAAAAATAAGCTGGGTGTGGTGGCGCACGCCTTTAATCCCAGCACTTAGGAGGCAGAGGCAGGTGGATCTTTGTGAGTTCGAGGCCAGCCTGGTCTACATAGTGAGTTCCAGGACAGCTGGGGCTACAAGGAGACCCTGTCTCAAAAAAAGACAAAA